AGTTTAATTTTGTTTGAAAGTCATTTAATTAAAAGAAAAATATTTTAGAGATATTTTTTTTAAAAGACTTTTTAAAAGTTTATTTTTTAAGTTATTCTATTTTAGAAGTTTTCTCTCTCTTATTCTTTTATACTATACTATTTTATAAATAAAATTTTAAATTTTTTTAAAAAATATTAATTTTTTAAGTAATAATTTTTTAAAAAAATTTAAAAAATAAAAATATTAATTTTTAAATTATTTATATAATAAAATTCTCCTGTCATTATTCTTTTTCAATATTAAACATTCAAATAAAAAAAAATTTTAAATTATTTTTTTATTTCTCTTACTAAACTTTCAAATAAAATTTTTAAAAAACATAATTTTTTTAAATTTTTATTGTATTTTTAAACATAATATACAATTTTTTTAAAAATTATGATATATTATTATTTTTATTAATTTTAATAAATAGAAAGTAGTGTAATTTTTACTGAATTTTTTTAGTTTTCATAAAAAAAATCTTAAAATAAGATTAATAGCGAGGGTGGCATGTGAGTGGGCCTAATGGGGTGTGACGCCAGCATTAAAGGGGACACGTCAGAGACAAACTGTGACCGTTGATTAGCTGTCGATGATGCGATTTTCGCGGTGGATTTGGCATGTGACGTGGTGTCATGTTTTTTCTTCCAAAGCCTTCGTTGCTAGCTACCGACAAGATGACGTGTCCCCGCATTCACATGCTCTTTACTACGGTACACACAGTGGGCCCAACTTACTCTTTGTGTGGACGATTTTACCCCTACTCGTCTCTATCTCTGATTGAGCTGCGGGTGAGCCTTTTTTTTTTTTTTTTTTTTCAGTTGTTCACATTTGAAATGTTGCATATTGGACGATGTCATCTCTACTATTAGTAGTCACATTTGACCACTCATATACAGATAAATTTTAATTAAATTTTAATTTTTTTATTTTTTGTAAATAAAAAATGCAAATGATAACAGAAAATATTGATACAATTCGAAACGTGACAGAGAATTTGATTTTTTTAAATAATATAACTGTAAATAATTATGTTTTTAATATTATTTTCTCATGTATTTTATTGTTCGAATAAAAAAAACAGAATAGAAAAACTTGATTTTTAAAATAAAAAATTATTTTTTCCTTGTTTTTCTTTTAATTTAAATGTTTTATTATATTGTATTTTCTTTCCATGAGCAAACATACTACCTATGCCCTACTCATAAAAGATACTAGCTAGTGTATGATGTATAATTTCTACTTTTTTACATGTTATATCATGAAAAATGTCTTTGACGTAAAAGTTTATAAAAATTAAATCTTGTTATCAGTCTTTTAACAGTAGTTGTCAATAAATAAATAAATATTATTTTCTTATAATTGACTAATAAAGGAAAACAACAGCATCATATACACGATAAATATATTGAGAAGTAAACTTAATTGAGGTTATTTATGGTTTTTTTTTTTTTTTTTTTTTTTTTTTTGTAAATTGACGCATCTTTGCTGGGCGAGCTATTTTGTTTGCAGTGATACTGTTTGAGGAAAGTTACTGGTCATCACTGCTAGAGAATTATGAGTCATCAAGGCTATGCAACAATTCTGGGCAAGTGCAAAAAGAGAAATAGTGAGAAAAAATAGCGAAAAGAAAGGCTGAAAAAAGAAACGAATTGGTGGAAAATAATGTTTTGATGGAAAAGTAGATTAATAGGAAATAAATTGACAGAAAAAAGTTAAGCAAACGGCAGGAAAATCAAATTGGCAAGAAAAATCAAAGTGCTAGAACGTAAGTTGACAAGAAAAGTAGAAGTTTAACAACAAATCAAAATGCAAAGGTGAATTGTAGGAAACACAAGAATCTGAGAATATAGAGAGTGGTTAATAGAAGAGGGTACATGCGCTTGCTTTAACATGTGGTTGGCATGCAAAACTCACTAATTACAGGTATGAAAAAAAAATTACTTAATTTTGGACTTTGTGCAAATTTAACCGCAGAAGTCACAACTTACGAGTAAAAGGGTTAGTATTTATGCCCATTTGAAATGCAGACTTCAGCAGATATGTTTGCTTTTACCTTCAGGCTAAGCGATGCATTGTAGGCTCACTCACTTACCCACCTCTAGTTAATACTGCGTTTGTTTGGGCTATAATTGATTAAAATTAGACAATTTCAATTCAATTCACTTTATTTGGTTGCAGTGAATTTTGTGAGTGAAATGAGGCAATTTCTGTATAGTCTACCTCTGAAGATTTTTGTCTACAGTAGACGTAAAATGCTGCTAGCTAAAAGGCCAAAAATATACATTTCATTTTATCCCCCATGAAGTGTAAATTTGATGTAAGAAAAATATAAGAAGTAAAGAAAAAATAAAAATAAAAATGTGATGCATGATGTGAAAAAGAGAGAGTAAATATAAATAAAATATAAGAAACTATGAGTGTAAATTATTATTATTGTTCATGTTCTCCTTGGATAGACCTTGGGGGAGAACGCTCCTTTGGCATATTGCACCTGGCCCTTCAATCAAGGTGGTCTGAATGGTTGGGCATGGAGATTGGAAGACTCACTCAATTTGGATGTATCGATATTCAAGTTATTCATCCTGACTTGACAGGGTGTAGGTAGCAGATGTATGTGTGCTAAGCTTAAATTTATTTTATATTATTACCCTAATTTTAGCTCTCCATATGGAATAGAATTATGTGATCCGACAAACATAATTATAATTTATAATTAAAATACACTAAAAATAAAATAGTAATAATAATAAAATTTTATTAACCTTTAGAATTGAGATAAGTAGATAATAATAGAAAAATTTTATTAGAAAAAAATTATTTATTATATTTTTATAACTTTAATATAATAACTGTATATTTCTTTTGTAAAATTTTTTTATTTTTAAATAGATGCTTAAATCCATCTTTTAAGTACTAAAGTTAATAAAACTTAAAATAATAAAATAATAAATTTCAACTAAAGAAAATACAGAGGACTAAGTTTTAAGGAAGGAAGATGCATTACAACAACAGCAATAATAGTGGGTAATGAACTCATGCCGGTTAACTTGCACCAAGCTTAGAATTTAATAGCTTAAGTACAACATTCTAATGACTGGACAAACTAATCTATTTTACTAACTCTAGCGGGAAAGAGTGTTAGTGCTATTTTAGCTAAGGGCTTATAAATGAAGATGAACACGTCATTTTGTTACTTTTTTATTATTTCATTTCTTTTATTTTTGAATTTATTCAAATAACTAATAATAAATTTACTTCTTTCCATCTTTCATAATTCTATCAATAGAAATAGTATATCTCTTTTATTTTCTCTGTATTTTATTTATTATCAGGGCAAAGTTTGAATATGTAAAGAAAGTAATATACAAGAAACTCAAAGAATTCTAAAAAATAAAGTTGGCGTAGAGACAAAGCACTACGTTAAAAAGAAAATTTTATTTATAAAAATAAATGTTGCATATAAAAAGATGACACTCATATGTGTATGAATGGGTTTATTTTTTTTTAATATTTTTTAAAAAATAAATTCTTAAAATAATGAATTTTTAAAATATATTTTTTTATCTGAAGTCTTTTTTTTTTGTCATATTAGCATCTGTTTTATCTAGAAATTATTTTTTATATTTTAATCAAATTTTGTCTTTAGTAGGGATAAAATTATGTAATCACGTAAGTGTTATCATTTGATAAGTTTTGTTTATTGTAATACGAAATTTATATGATTACTACATGTTATAGTGGCATAACTTCTGAAATTTAATTCAATTATTTGTGACTTGTGAAATGTTTCTGTGTGTGATAAAAATAATAAAGACTATCTTAACTATGATTAATACTAATTTATATGCACAAAAGAGAAGGTTAGATTTTAAAGTTTTTTACTTTTTCACAAAGAAGTAAGGCCTATGCTAGAAGTGAGAATTATAAAGTGGTTAATGTCACATGTTTTGACGATACACCTACAATACAATTCACTTTTTTCTCTCTCTTTTTTTCTACCATTATCATACATTATTATTATTCTCATAACTTGTATGATTAAATTTAATTTTTGATTCATTTAAACTTAAAATCACATTAAACAAAGAAAAATGAGTAAAAAATATTAATTATTTTTTAACAAGTAAGTTACTTTAATAATATTAAATGTGAAAGCAATTATTAATAATTATCTTATGATAACAATTTTAATAAATTGGATTGATATGACCCATGACACAATCCTATTAATTAGTTTTATCCACGCAGTAGCGAAACTTCAATAATGACATGTGGTATAATAATATAATTTCATCTATGATAAAAACAAAACTTGATTAAAAAATAAAATGTTATTTTTATCTGTACGATAAATGAAACATATCTTGATACGGCAAAAAAATACTAAACGAGGAATATGTTTTTTAAAAAATATTATTTTAAGAATTTATTTTTTAAAATATATTAAGAAAATAACTAAGCCTGAATGAATGAATGATCTGAAACGAGAAAATATTATATCTATAACCCTTCTTTAAATTCATAAATAAAGACATTGGGTTATGAAGACTAGCTATATACCTATGATTTGGCAAAGCAAATATTACATTCCAGCAAACCCATATAGTTGCCTACTATATAGCTTTTAATGTGTACATGCTATAACAATCAGTCTCATGCTGTCAATGTTGACTATTGATCACTTCCCAATCAGAGAAGTAGGGTGAAGTGTTGAGCACGAGTGAAGTTACACAATCTAAGTTCTAAACAATATGTAGTGTGTTTGTTCATTAGTCAATATTGGTATACTTAATGAATGATATAGCTTCCAATGTATAAATTGGAAACAGTCCTATATTTTTATATGGTGTCATTCTCCTTGACCTCCTTTTAACAGAATTAAATTTTGCAAGAACTTTAAAGTTTTGAGTAAAAATAAGAGTAATTTCTTGAATCATGAATTTAGAAGTTGGATAAGTTTTTAGCCGTTTACAGGTAGCTCGAGCTCATTTGCCATCCGTTTGTTAATTAGTCAACGTTGGAATAATTGGTTCAATGCATAGCCTTACCTTCAGATTCATGCAGTTCATATAACATGGGTCGTCCATTGCTACCTTTAACAACATTAGCTTTTGTAAGCAATCGATCAAGAGTGAAAGAAAAGAAAATGAGTACCCTTAAGTTTTTCAACAAATTAAATATATTTTCTAAGTTCTTAGTAATTTGCATGATGGTATCTCTTTTGGTTGGTTCAAGTTATTCAGCATGTGATTTTAAGGCAATTTTCAACTTTGGGGATTCAAATTCGGACACAGGTGGGTTTCATGCAGCTTTCCCTGCACAGCCTCGTCCCTATGGAATGACTTATTTCAAAAAACCAGCAGGACGGGCTTCTGATGGTAGGCTCATTGTGGATTTTCTAGGTAATGAACCAGTCTTTATAATCTTTTTCATTATGTTTTCTTTATATAAAATGCTAATAGGTCCTTTTAAGAACAATTGTTAAAGAAAAAATCTTTTGTGAAAAGATGTAAATTTTTTTTTTTTATAATTTTTAATGTAACCTAACATAAGAACTTTTTTTAAAGAATATAAAGTTTCAGGCTGATAGATTAACAAATTAAAGGACATATATAACTAAGAGAGTTTTAAATTTAAATTGTTAAAAATATTTTAAATAAATAAATCACCTAAACTTAAGGCCTCTAATTCCCATTTACTGTCAAATTCACGTTCAAAATCTTAATAACTTTTAACAAAATTTTATTATTTATTAATTAAAAGACTCCTTTCTTACTTTTTAACAAAGATGTACTTGAGGAACTCGAAAATAAAAAGAGGTATTTGATTCAATAAAGTTTTCTTTCTCCTGCTTTCACTTTTTCGTGCTCTTGCTTTTTCTCAGCACAGCCATCGTTAGTTTCTTAATGAGACATATCTTAGGTGGATCATCCATTTTTGTCTAAAGGAAGTAATTCATTTAAAGTTATGGTTCTGTTAATAAATAGATTATAAAAATTTACAAAATTAATTAAAAATATATTAAAAATGAACAGAGCCTAACAGCCTAAAGAAACAAATAAGACTAGGCTAACCCTTTAAGAAAATAAGAACTTAAAAAAAATTCAAAGAGAGAAAGGGGATTAAGGAGAGGGGAGCCTCTTCAAAACAAGTGAAAGGGATCCAAAATCAGACGTTAACTTAACTAAAAAATTAGCACACTGATTGACTTTTTTTAAAATATGATTAAATCTAATAAAACTAATTTCTCTAAGTAAATCTCTAATATCACAAATTAAGGAAAATAAAGGATGATTATAATTATTTTTTTAATTCCACGACTAATGCCTAAAGTATTTGTCTAAAATTATTAAGTCAATATCTCGTATACAGATCTATATATGTGTGTGTGTATTGAGTGAGTGTGATTGTTTATGAGAAAACAGGAAAAGAGTCACAGAAATAGGTGATTTGGATCCCATGCATGCATTTTGCTTTTCGCAGTCTACTCCACAAGACAAGAATCCTCAGAGAAAAAGTTGGATCGTCACTTTTGTTTTTCAATTGCAGAAGCTATTAATTGGATATGCAACTGACTTTTCACTCGTTGTTTCTGTTTTACTGAAAAAGCAAATATGGCGCCGTCCAAAAGTGTTTAAACGATTATCAAATGAAGTAGTAATAATTTGCTTTCCATCTTTAGGCTTTGATGAGAATAAAGTAAGAATGAGACGTGGAGAATTTTATGAGTTTAATTTTGATGTATTGTTTTATTTGATGTTATAATATTACATCATTTTGATAAATTTTACAGTACTTTAGGTGTTAAATTTATTAAATATTCTGATAGCACTTGTTGAATTATAACATAAACATTTAACATGATAATACTTATGGTAAAGTTAATGTATATGAGTTTTTATTGTGTATTTTTTAAATATACGTTAATCAATCTAAATCTTTCTTGTAGGCATAATCAATCTAGAGGATTTTAGTAAAACTCGATTCTTATTATATATCTAAATTAACTAAGGACTTTAAAGTCAAACATGGGCTGGTTCAATGGATACATTTAAAAATGAAATGAAATAAAATAAATTCCATTTTGACTGCCAGTTCTATTGGTAGTGGGAGAAATAATTTTAGACATTCGCTTTAGTAATCTATCGCTGTTACAATTTTTTTTACTTAAAATATGAACATTTTGAACCAATTAATTGAATAACTTTTTTTTACACTTTTTCACTTTCAACCTCATTAGCCAAACACCAATAAGAAACTTTTCCATTGCTCTGTCACTACTTTCTTATTTTCAGCGATTTCAGTTACTTTTTTCAAAGTGGGATGATAATGGGGATACACGCATGCACATGTCGTAATATTTGACCTGTTTTTAGAAGCTAGAACTAGAAATTGTAAAACGTTGTGTGAGAGTGGGAGAAGAAGAAGAAGAAGAAAACAATTTTACTTAGGGATTGTAAATTTCTTATATAAGACTAGCAATTTAGAAGCGTTCCACCCATTCTTATTCAAGATTTGACTTTTATTTTTACTTAATGCACTTTGGTATTTATATTTTAGGTTTATACAATTTTTATTTTTTTATTTTATATTTAATTGCTCATATTTATTTTTTATAGTTTTTCACATGTTTAAATTAAGTAATCAACTCCAAAATTAAGACTATTATTATATCTTATATTTTTATTTAAATGTTTTATATATCGTTTAGTGATTTGTATGAATTAATTATTTTTATCAATTCTTAAATTAAATTTTATGATGAAAAACTTAATTTGAATATTTAAAAAACTAAAGAAATTAAATGTGAACAATTAAAATTAGGAACAAAAATTATACATTCATTAAAGTGCAGGGGCGAAAAATGTATTTTAATTTTTAATTTTTGTATTTGTACAATATTTTTTTATCTCTCTTGACTTTTAATTTTTCTATATTTTATCTTCTTGTCACATAATGTTTTTTTTTTTTTCAACTTTTCTCTTCTGTTCTTATCTCTCTTTTTAATTATATACGGTCGTAGATAATATAACAACCATTTTCCTAAATATTTGATGTGTGATTTGGTGTTGAACTTGCAGCCCAGGCTCTTGGATTGCCATATTTGAGCCCATATTTGCAGTCAATTGGATCAGACTATACAAATGGGGCTAACTTTGCAAGTTCAGCATCTACTGTGCTTCAGCCCACTACTTCCTTCTTTGTCAGTGGGCTCAGCCCTTTTTCCCTTGCCATACAACTAAGGCAAATGGAGCAATTCAAAGCCCAAGTTGATGAATCACATCAAAAGGGTACACAAAAAGTGTTACAAGAAACTTGCCTTTTCTTTTTCTTTTAATTTACTGGCCCATAATAATATACCCACCAATCTTCCTTTGAATACACAACACAGGAACAATGATATCATCTGATGGTTCTTCTGGAACGAAAATTCCTTCACCAGATATATTTGGAAAGGCAATTTATACATTCTATATTGGTCAAAATGACTTCACATCCAAAATAGCAGCCACTGGTAGCATTGATGGAGTGAGGCACAACCTTCCTCAAATTGTCTTACAAATTGATGCTGCTATTAAGGTTTGAATAGATCCTTCTTGTTATGCCATAATATTTTAGACTATCCTCGTTGATAGGCCACAATTTTGGGGTTACATTCATTCAACCAGGTTGGCACATTACTAAAATATGATACTTTAAATTATATGATATACCATAAAAGCATGATTAATTAATAATAGTATAAAAACGTTTTACATTAATAATATAGTTTTTGTAAATAATAGTACTAAATAACATTACCCATCCTCATTGATAGGTTGCTATGCAAGTTATAGCATCGGCTGGTAAATAACTAAAATTTTTATAAAACTTTCTTAAAGAGAATAAAGTAAATAAAACATCAAATGATCTTTTTGTTACTACTTCATACAAACAATGAAAACAAAAGTGAAAAACTTTAACATCACCATTCATGATATATACAACAATCTCGACTCCAAAAATTTTATTTGTAATGCGTGGATTATGGTTCGACCAAAATACCTATCATTAGACTTGGCTAGACATAAACCTATTTATTAAAAAAGTTAGGCAAAAGTTATTTAAAAGTTACATTAATCTTTTAGTGTTCATTTAATTAAAAGATTAGCCTTTAAGCTTTTTTAAAAACCTTTTCAACCTAGTAATCAGCTAGCTCATTTTTGTAAATAAAAATAATATAATAATATTATTAATATTATATACTTCTCTGTCTGTTGAAAACTTGAAATGCTTAGGTTTATTGACTTGTATAAGATTTTAAGTTAGTCAAACTATTAAGATATTTATTTGTTATTAAAATATCTAATTACAAATTAAATTTTTAAACATGTTTGGTTAAATTTTAAATAGCGTTTATGGTAAATAAATACACTGGGCTCTCAAACTTGGTTTAGGAAATGGGTCATGCTTGACTTAATCTGACTAATTTCCATTCCTAGCACACATACCCATGCAATTGAGCAAAGGCGATCATGTAGGCCAAAACTTATCAAAATACATATAAACAATGTCAGAAATGTAATAAATCCATTCATTTGCCTTCGCTTTACGATGTTATTGTTATTTTATTTTAAGACAAAATTTATGTACTGTTTTTTAGGTGTTATCAGTGCTGTTTATCAATTAAAATTAGAATTTTATTTTAATAAAATATTTATATTTAATGTTATTACAGGTTGACTAAGTAAAACTCTAATTTTAAGTAATAAACAGCACCAACAATATCCAATGAATTACATCTAAGTTTTGTGTTTATTGGGTGGAAGAACACACAGTTGATTCAAAACTTTTTGGTGGCTGAAATTGATAGGAGCTATATGTACAAGGTGGGCGTACATTTATGGTATTCAATCTTGGTCCGGTAGGATGCTACCCTGGATACTTGGTGGAGCTTCCTCATGCAAACTCTGACTTTGATGAGTTTGGATGCATGATTTCTTACAACAATGCTGTGCATGATTATAACAAATTGTTGAAGGAGACATTGAGTCAAACCAGAAAAAGTTTAATAGATGCTTCCCTTGTTTATGTGGACACCAACTCTGCTTTATTAGAACTCTTCCACCATCCCACTTATTACGGTACAACCACCTTTCCTTGCCTTATTTGGTTAAATAATGATTTTGGGTATGGCTCTTATGAATTATAATCATACACCCTTTTGGTCATTATAAATGAAAAAAATATTAGCACTTCTGTCATATGGTGCTGGCGTTATAGCAACTTTAATGCATTTCTTAAAAATGATGAATCACAAGTGTTGGAACGGTTTATTAGTCCAAAATAAATTGTTTAGGTATTTTAGACGAATAAATCGTTCAAGCTTGAAAGTTAAAAGAGGGGCATTGATTCTTATACGGTTTCTTAGATTCCACCAATAAAGTTGCTCTTACTAGGAATTCAATATTTATAAACCAACACTATTGATTCCACTACTGTAGTTTTGATTTCTGGCTTCAATTTGTTTTCTTGGAGCAGGGCTAAAGTATGGTAGTAGAGCATGCTGTGGGCATGGGGGTGGTGACTACAACTTTGACCCTAAAATTTTGTGTGGCAATATGGTTGCAAGTGCCTGTGATGACCCTGAAAACTATGTGAGCTGGGATGGCATCCATTTCACAGAAGCAGCGAACAAGCTTGTTGCAATGGCAATTATCAATGGCTCACTTTTTGATCCCCCTTTCCCTCTTCATGAACACTGTGACCTCCAACCTATTATTGATTGATCCAGTGTCTATAACTAGGGGTCTTTCTTATTTAACCAATAAATTATTTTGAAATGCTCCCGCTATCTGATTGTTAAATAATTGTTTTGGTTTGAGGGTTTCACTTCTACGCTTGTATAATATATGAACAAAAACATGGTACTGGTGAGTAGCACTGCTGTTTCATGAAAAAATATTATCATATACAAATTGAACTTTGATTATCTATGTCTATGGTATGATAATTTGCATTCAGAGTTGGCTATTATTCAAGAAAGATTATGCAACAAGTATGTTATAATGTTTTGATTTGAGTTCCAAAAAAAATTCCTTCTGATCAAACGTAAGAAGATGTTAGAAACTCATAATTCCTAGGAAATTCTCGTATAAGTAAATATTATAAGGTTAGAAATTGCCCATTGCATCCAATCAGAGAGTCTCACTTTAGTTTACTAAAAAATTAAACAAATGTAATTAGAGCCAAGTTTGCCGTCCTGCTTTGTATATGGACAAGTTAGAAGAATTAAAAAATTAGTGGGGTGACCTGGGGGATTAATAATGAATTTCGTCATCTGTTCCTAATAAAAAATTAGTGTGAAAACAAAACATGATATCAAAGTTCTATTGATACCCTAGATAATGAGTACACACACACATACATATTTATTTTTTGCTGGACTGAAAATTTTGTTGATAAGGATGAAGTTCAAAACAACATTATGTACTGATTCATTTGCATGAAGTTAATACTATAAAAGAGAGGATTAAAATTGGATCACCAACTTTTAATGAATGACATGTTCGTTCTCAAGGGTCGGTGGGGTTCTAATCGTTGAAGCTAATGGCAATTTAGTTTCTCCAATCCAAAATGTATCAAAAGATTCACCTCCTTCTGAATTCTTCTCCATTTTTCTTATTTTTCTTCTCCTAGCCTCCTTAACTGAAGTAAGAAAGACCAAAGCTAAAATGACCAACCCAACAAAACCTATTACAAATCCTAAAACCCACCACATGTTGAATCTCTTGCTCTTAGCCTCTTTTGGAGATGGATGTGAATTATGTGATGGAACTATAAGAGTATAGTGCCCTTGGCTATGTGCTTCACAGATATATGGCTTAGTCATGTTGAATTTCAGCCACCCACTAGCACCAAGCTTGGCACAAATTGGTGTGCCATTTTTCTCGTGTGGTCCAACATCAGGAAATTGAATTCTGATGGGGTCCCCTTCGATGATAAGGCTAATCTTCTCATCTATGAATGCTGTTTCTGAGGAACTGTAAGCCATAAGACCAAAAATAGGAGCCACCATTGTGTAATTAGACAACTTGTAGTAATGAGAAGACCAAGTGCCCAAGTTTTCATATAATATAGCTATTCTCTTCCCACTAGGCCTTGGCACAATCCTCGGTGGAAGATTGAAGTAACTATAATTCACTCCTCTTAACCAGAAAGAGTAGCTGCGCAATCTAACAACTGAAACTTCCATGCTTGTGAAGTTAGCAGGAAGGGAAACTTTGTAAAAAATACCTGTTTTAGGTCTTTCTATTTGTTTGTTTGCTTGCTTGCAAAGAAAGTCATCCAGTGATTCATGGTCAGAGTTGTTTAAGCCTTCAACCAAAGATGATAAAAACAAAGAGACAATCACCCATGTAACATGCCAACATTTGTGAAGCCCCCCCATGAATGTCACCCCAGAAGCCTTCTTCTGTCTCTAATACTGAATTCTTGAATGGCTGTCATGGAAATCCATGGATGAACCAAATCCATTGAAGCTTTTATGAAGCTGTAGTATTTTCACTACTCATCAGGGAAAGGACAAGTTTTCTCACCACAAACTTGGCTTTTTCTTCTTCTGATTTGCTTATAGAGAGACAAATATTAAGGAAACTCACAATCAAACTCCTTCCTCAACCAAGTTTTGGCATGTCAAAAACACAAATATTATATCCGAGAAGGTATATAAAGCTGAATCTCCTTAAAACACTTGTCTTTCCTTTTCTTCCCTCTTTCTACATGAGTTCCTTGTAACACAGATGCAAACTACTATGAGGATCCTTCTTCAGCCAAGTCTAGGCAGAAGAATGATGTAATGAAGTGGAGGCACTTTAGGGGTTATTTGGTTCCGAAAAGGAAAGAGAGAACACAGGTCTGAATTCTTCAACACTTTTTATGTATGTTGAGATCCTATTGGAGTTTCTTGTGCCTAGAAATCAGAGGTGTATGTGGAAGAGTATGGCTGTGTGGAAATTAATGAGGCGATGAAATATGAGTTAAAATGTTGTATTCTAATGACATTGGTAAGCACATGAAAAGGGGTATGGAACCTTTCAGAGTTGGTGATGCTTGATGGGGTGTTAATTTGTTATTCCTAGTTGTCATTATTAATTATTGGATTTTTCAACCACAAAGGATATTTATTTAGGCACATATTTTTGGTTCTTCTTGCATTCTATTTAGAGTCTGGTCAAGGGATAAAGGGGTATGAATGAGTTGGTCATAACCTGTGCCAACAGGGACTTAGGTAGAGCCAAGGCCAAGGGGCGTAAGCCATGCACCTCCAAGGATGAAAATGCCTATTTTAGGCAAATGATTCGCTAAGGCGGCAAATTAGTTGGTGTGTTTTAAATGATTGGTATTATTGTCATCTGCAGGGTGTTAAGTAGTGTAATGAGGCTTAAAGCCTAAACATATACTAAACTATTCTTAAGTGTTTTTGCAAAATTCTCAAATTTATTAAAAATGTTAACAATATTCATGATAGCTTTTGAGTTAAAGACAAAATGGACAAGTAAAAAACTCATTTTATGCATATTAAAAGAAAACCAAATTTGTTGTATTTTATACGTAATGTAATTGTATGTATTAAGTTGTTGTTTATTGGACCCAGAATATTCGGAAAACTTAAATTTAAAACTTGCATGGTGGTTTTGTTGCCTGTAAAGTGAAAAATTCCATAACTCACATATAATACAATCAGCAGTTTAATTATCAGAGGGCGTTTGGTGGTTGGTATAGGAAGCAGGCATCTGTCACTTTTTATATGTCTATATTTGACATGAAAAACAGTTAACCTTTTTTAAAGACAGAAAAAGGTGAATTTATGAAAGCATGGGAAATATTTTATATAAAAATATCTTTCCTTACTGCGATATTTTCAGTTTACATTATTTCAAATTCAATTGTGCTGATAGAAAATTAATAATATAAAAAAGTTAAGAAATGAAAAGTATATTATTATTATTATTATTTTGATTTTCTATTCAGTTTAATTTGAATCTGACCTGAGTTGTGCACCTAAATGTGATAGATGATTAAAGATTTTTTTACATACATAAGAACTCAAATCTAAAACTTTGTTTAAAGAATATCGAACTATTTGACTTGAACTAACCTCTGTTGGTTAATATTTTTAATATTTTTATTATTAATAGTGTATTTAAAACTTCATTTCATTTTTTCAATGCTCAAGATCAATGATAACATTTAAAATTAACCTTTGATTTGAAGTTGTTACAGTATCATGGACTTTTTTATAACACATTTTATTTCTTGGACGAAGAAAGTTTACTTTTTAAAATAAAGAGAAGGACCCTGTAATTAAATTATTATCATTTAAGTTTTATTTTAAATAAAACAAGTTAACAGTCATTTTATGCGAGAGAAGACATAGGTCAGAACAAATCATAATATTTTTTATTTGGGTCAATTAATCCGAATATTTGAACCTATTCAACCTTATTGGGTTGTGTTAAACGACAGTGAATGTAGGCCTGTTTCCTTAGTAGCTCATTATGTGAGGACATGTAATAGTTGATACTGCATATATTATATATTATATTAATATATGATTATGTTAAATCTCATATCCCATTCCTTAGCTATAAGGGCCTTACTTCTTGAGAGTCGCATGTTGCCTTGGAGACTTAAGAAGACTAGGCTCGTTTAGAAAACTTTATGCAGTGCAAAAACTTTGACTCATGTAAAAATCTTAGCTTATGTTAATAAAATTTTCAATATAATTTATCAAAATGAAGTTTTTTATTTTAGTTTAATATGTTCATATTACATTTTTAATACAAACTATCATTTTACAAAAGCTTTTTGAATAAACGTTCACTTAAGATGTATCCAAACTCACCTACTAGTGCATATTTAGTTTATTTTAAAGAAACAATAGCTCATCTTTTTGAAGAAACATTTTGAAAAATATGTGATTATATCTCTTTATTTAAGCTGAACCATATGTGATTAATATTCCAAGGAGATCTTCCAATCTATAATGGTTAAGAGATGCAGTTAGTCCTAAACATGTTATATTTTCGTGTTCTATAATAACATATAACAAATTTGTTACATAAGTAGTACAAAGATAATGGTTTCCATTCAGAACCATATACATAAAATTTGTCACGTTGTTTTAATAACGAAATGGGTCATTACAAAGGAAATAGAGGTTGAGAAGAATTCTATTCTACATCAAGGGATACATAAGACTCTTATACGGCAGATACAGCAATACAAAAACAAATGGGGTTCAAGGAAGATAAACTTGACTTGGTACCTGCTATTACCATTCTATTCAGTTCCAGTAATTTTCTTCTTCAGAGATTCGATGTCTGTAGCTAGCTCCTTCCTGCTAGACTGTATAGAAATACACATACGTTACTACAAAATATACATTGTTTACAACAAGCATTGCATAGTAGAATAGAGTATGTAGATCCCATGGAAAAATAAAAATTTCACTGAGCCATTATAGTTTGGTCTAACAAAATATGCTAATTGATCATTCCATCAGATTTTATTTCATTCCATTGCTCATTTACTGAAAACAAAACCTTGTAGCACACAAAATGAAAAAAGAAAACAAAATATCAATGCAACAATATTGATACCAATGCTATCTCAAGGCTTGATATACTCAACCACCACTTATGTACATAAAACAAAACCTGTTAGATTCTAAAATAGTAAAGCATTGCCATTCATGGTAAATGTACCTACCTTAAACAGAAGGTATCGGTAGACAAACCATCCAGTGTATCCTAGCCCTACCAACTCCATAATCTTTGGAAGCTGAAACATAGATAAGATTATTTCAGATTCTTTTGCCATGGTTTATGAAGTATAGATAGTTAGAAACTCATGCACATATGCATGTTAGCCAATTGATCCACCGCCAGAAGTGATGACAGAATATGGTAAAACTGTTATATTCAACAAGAGTGGTGACTTACCAAAGGAACCGAGTTGATGGCACTAACAAGAATTGAAGATAGCCAAACAGCAACAATAGCTCCACCACCATAAAGAAGTACTGTGGACTTGTTTTCAACAGCATCCCACTGATTATGATAAATGGAGGATATTATTTCCACTTGGTTAAAAGTTAACATACTGTTTGGTTGGAGGGAAAAAGGATGAGAGGAGAGGGAAAATGAGAGGCAAAACCCCCTCCCATCCACTTTTTGCCTCCCCTTTCGTAAAAGTTTTCCCCTTCTTTGATAATATTAAAATCAAAAGATTGTGGATTTGCTAAAAATAATTTCAGGATAAAACCAAATTGTTGAACTTAGCCAATTAATAAACCTCTTGCCTTTTGCTTCAAATCTGTGAACAATTCATTAGCATCCACTGAAGATGTTTCCTCAGAAGAAGCTCTGGTCTGAAGCAGAGAAGGTTTTCGGGACACTGAAAGGGAAAGAAATTAGAAAATAAATTTGTGAATTATTAAAAGATGAACAAGATGAAAAAAAAAGACCGAGCTCAATAACTAAAACGCTGAAAATGCAACCAACAGTACAATTACCACTCCCAAGGGTAGGGAGTGAGTCATGCTGAAATTACAGACACAGAAACCTTAATTTTGGCAAAGGATATTTATTGGTTGATGTCGTATAATTGTAGCTAAACAAGTGCATGAAACTCTTAGACAAATATTAACTTGTGGAGATCATGATAACCACATTCACATGGCAGAAACTAGCTAAATTTTCTGGATTAGACTTTGGATTGGTCAAGTGTGTCCACTCCATGTGATGTTTACCACCATCACATACACCACAAGACGATGAGGATCACGTTGGACATGGTCAGCAGGGATGATCAAAATACGGAATAAATTCAAATATGGCACATGACAATCCTCTCTCTCACTTAATCCTCTCGTCCATTTTAGAAATTCAGGATTAAGAACTTTAAATAATAAGAATAAAGTAGAAAAATACATACATATAAGGGGAAATGAGGGGAAAGAGACATTGTTCAATGAGTGAAACAAGCCATTGAAGTTAGACAGGAGCATATTAGCGCTAACAGGTTTCACATTAAAAATACCACAATGTAATAAACAACCATACTTGCTGTGATATGTAGTTAATGTTTTTGTCAATCGTATGTGACTCAAACCAAATTTTTTTATTTTCTTTAAAAAATTTCCAACATACATTTTATTTTTTATAGAAGACAATTCTGTTCATAGCATAATTAGAAACTAAATATGAACCGAGCGAAACTCAAATCACCGTTTTGTGGAAGCTAATTAAAAAATTTACACCCCATTGTTTTGGAATCACCAAAGTTGGCACCTTTAATTTAAGAGGAAAGAACATCTGAAGATTAAGACCAACAAAGAAAATGGAAAATGGAAATTGAAATGAATTAAAAAAGGAGAAAGAACATAATGTATACTAATTTACAAAAAAATAAAATAAAAGAAAAAAAACCTTTTTTCAAATTTCTTGAAATGAATTTATAAAAAAAAAATTATTCCTGATATTTAAAACTTTTCAAACATACAATAAAACTAACAAGAAAAATGAGAAATGAGAAGCAACAGTGTGTGTGTGTGTGTATATATATATATATATATATATATATAAAGCCTCTTTTAATAAAATTTTTAAACAAAAAATTTATTTCCTTATAACTAAAACTTTTCAAACATGCAACAAAACTAACAAGGAAAATGGGAAATGAAATGAAAGAATACCTAAAACGTGTTTGAGGGAAGCTGAAGACAAAGGGGTGGTGGTGGAGAAGCGCGGTGGCAGAGAAGGCAAAGCAGAGCAACGGGCAACGTTGTTGGTGGTCGAAATCCTATGTGGGAGTAGCACCGTGGCTGCTGCTGCTGCTGCCATTATTATTATTATTTTCTCCGAGAAATCTGAAGTGTGTGTGATGTGCCTATCACTCTATCTATCCCCAAACCAAAAATTTAGCACTATGGTTGGCCTCACTTTCTTCCAATACTTCCTACCTTCAAATTCAATAGATATTTATTTATTTTCAAAAAAATTTAAAATAAGAGAAGTACATTGACTTGTTATCCATTACTATAATATAATTTGGGACACCGATTTCCACCACATGACACGTGGACAATCTTTGCTTTCTCATTGGCTAGTCTCCTATCTTCAAAATCCACATCCCATTACTGAATCTAGTACTACGCAACTTCAATTCAACTCTTCAATATGGGCCTAACTTATAGGGTGGCCCATTGAGTTTTTTCTCGATCTGGCCCATATCCATTAACCATCATCACTCTCCTCTTTCATTTTCTCTTGCCCTAATTGCAGAACCCTGTAACGCAGAATCACCTCACTCCAAACTCCAACCTCGAGTGAGCAATACGACACCGACCCATCTCTTCAAACATGCTGCGTATCACAAAGCTGAAGCCTTTTTCTTCTGGGCACCAACTCATCCAACGGTGCTCCGTTAGCGGAACAGCGAAAGGGAAGGCGAAGATCAAAGCGGGTCAGACACTAAAACGGTCGCGTATTACCACGAAGAAACCCGGATCCGAATCCATATCCGGAGCAGGACCCGGGTCACGCGAGAGGCAAGAGCGTGAGCTTCTCTATGAGCAGTGCCTCAACGCGCCAACCCCACTTAGGTACCTAACAAAGAAGCAAAGAGAAAGAGAAGCGGAGCGCGAGAAAATGGGGCTCATAAGTAAGGAGAGACAGCGAGAAATTGAAATCATGAAAAGAAAAGACAACAAATTTAAGGTTTCAGAGAAACCCACGATTATTGGGACACCTGGGTTGGATTATGTGAGTTTGGGTTTGGTGGATGTGGAGAAGGTTCCAAGGTATGAGTTAACAGTGGAAGATGGGAGAAGGTTGGCGAAGGAGTATAGTAGGGTGTTGATGAGGAAGCATAGGGCTAGACAAGCTGCGGAGTCAACTCTTTTGAGGATGAAAAAAGAGGCTATTGAAGCTTTACCTCAAGGTTTGAGAGAAGCTGCTTTGGTTCCTGATTTGGCACCTTTTCCTGTTAATCGTTTTATGGCTACACTCACTCCCCCTATTGAGGGTTACATTGATAAGATTAGGGAAGCGGCTAATAAGATCAGTGGGATGGAGAAGATTAGATGATCGTGTGTTAGGTCAAGTCAGAACAGGTTTTGTTTTAAAGGGTTTTTTCCGCTGTGTGACGGAAAGTGGTGGAATGGAATGGAATAATGTTGGTTGCTTTTGGACTGATTTGAAAGAGGATGAAATGAAATGTGTTTCATCTGATGGTTTTATAGTTGATGTTCTTAATTTGAGAGTTCAGGGTATGGGATGAATCTAGCTTGTCATTGTTTAGGGTAATGAAATGCAATGCAATGTGATGATGCTTTTGTTTTTCATTCTCTAATTTGGGAGTTGGTATTGGATGAAATTACTTATTGATTTCTAATTTTGTTACCATTCAGTTTAGTTCTTAAACAATGAAAAGGAATAAGATGCCTAGTGAAAATGATTTAATTTTATTTCATTACATGTTATTCAGATCCATGTTATTTAACCTGCTATTAGATACTATAACAGCCAAAAAAAGGGATTAGGTTTTGAAGTGTATATATGAATTAATCTGTGTATGATGTATCATGTGATGGTCGAGGTATCATGTTATAATTTCATTATAACTGAGGAAATCTTCTTGTTTTGAGCACACTGGAGTGTGATTGCTGTTTGCTTGTTTGGAGCGAACATGTAAAATGACTAGTATAGCATTGATATTTTACATCTAAGACACCAACCTCAAATCCAACTCGTTGGAATCAGTTATGGAAGAAATTCAACATGTCAATTTAGTGACTAGTGCAAATGATTCAGTAGTCGGGTGCAAACTTTGTGATGATAAATGTTTAGAGGGATCCTATTTAAAATCCACTGAAAACGTGTCTCATATTAAGGTAGGAAAAATATTAACTTGGAGATTGTTCTGGCTTTCTAGTTTCTACAGTTCTAAAATTTCATGTTGGCATGCTTGACTCAATTTTGGGTTCATTCATACTAAAATCACCTGTACTTGCTCTTCTTTTCCTATATTCTTAGATGCCATTCTCACTACTTGTATACATTCTATGTTGCTTTGAAGCAATTATCGGATGAGATGTAATGGTAAAACATTATAAAACAGATGCAAACGGAACATTTTCACTAATGCTTTACTTTTATTTAGTAGACTGATTTAAGTGTGATGATATCCATCCATGAGTACTAGCTAGCTTGCAGTAGCAGAAGAACTACTTTGGGAGAAAGAGGTAGGAAACAGAAAAGGAGAAAGGACCCTAGTCTAACAACTTCACACTTTCCCCTTCTCTTGTTCTATTATATTCCTCTCAATTCTCTTCCAACAGTTCCATGCATAATCATTCAGTTTGCAGTCTGCTACTTGAGTCTCAACTCTGGGAACCCTCACAGACAGGATCAACTGCCACGTCCATTCCATTAGGTTGTAGCAGAACCTGATAAGCTGAGATTATTGAGCAGTAAAAGTTGTGCAGCAAAATTGCAGTTCGGAGGAATAACATATGACATCAAGTCTCTTTCTCATTAGATTGATATTAATGATTTTAATGACTGAATCAAGCTTTTCCCTTTTCTCATATAAACTTGGAATATCTCCATCTTTCATGGTGGTTTGTATAATTATGAAGTGCTTGATCAAATTTTAGTGCTTATATCTTAAGCCTTGATATTTAATAAATTTATGTTTGGCCTAGCTTATTCTTAGCAGCATAAATACATGCAGATTATGTGGCGGCCATTTTACAATTTTGCATTTACGAATTATACAATTGGGCTAACAATCTTGAACCATTTTGCAAGTCTTGTTCAAAATAATGTCTTATACATCTCCAATTTGTTTCAATGGCAGTGTCCTTTCGAGCATCTTCTGTTTAATCACATTGTTGAATTCATGTTTTATCACAGGTTCTCCTTCTAGGTGTCACGCGTAATGTTCTCTCAAACCTTTTTTTTGTCATCCTCAAATTTGTTTTGAATGAAGCATGATCGGAAATATAGAGGTTTGTTCATTTTAACCTTTTTTTTTTTTTTTTTTTTTCTGAATCTAATACATGATCTGAGAGCCGAGATTAAATGTTTCCCGAACCCGGTCATCGAAATGACCAAGTAAAAACAAATGCACTTGATGCTGGCTTTAGTTGAAGACTCAAAATTGAAGCCTCCGTGCTTGTATTTAATTTATCCATGACTTGACAACGTTATATACTACACCGCCCTGAAGTTGCGAGTAATAAGCTACCACACTATGATGCATTCCTGCTTAAAATCCTTGCACAATAAGAATGGTGTTCGTATATATAGTTGAAGCAATCTGGTCTGTATTAAGCACGAATTATCATTCATTATATATCCAAAACAAGTAAGAGGAAGCTCCCCACCATTAACCACCATAGATACACGTTTCATAACTAAAACCCACACCATAAATTCAAGCCAAGCAACCAATGCAAGCCCTGACAAAAATCAACCATTCAAACAACTGACTGGGAAATAAAAATTCAATGACATATTTTACAGGGAGAAATCAGAGTACTACCCATTCTATATTATGCTTATAACATATGAAATCATGTTCATATGATCATAAGATCTGCATAAATAGGCCAGCCAGACCAGACATATAAAAAGTGGGATCTTTAAACATTATAATCAATCTCCCCTCGGCCAGAACCCAAGTTACCTGAATAATTAAAAACAAAACAATCAAATCCGCATGCTAATCTAATCTAAGACCATATCCTAAATGAATATTGCCAAACATTCCTGTCACTGATCTCGCATAACAACAATCCTTTCACATATCATGCTATAGCCATCAAAACAAACATAACTCGTTCAAAACCACAAGAATTACACAGAAACCAAACTTCCAGAAAGCCATATATGCTTCTTCTTACCAACACATCAAACTCAGCAAGACAATAATTAAAACAATCACTCATCACGTTACCAATCAGAACAGCAAAAAACAAAACATAAAAATAAAAACAAACAGAACACTCTAAATAAGATAACATAATCGGCTCTTATTGCATTAAAATTCACCATCCTTATACCACATTACACAAACAAAACCCATAACACCTCAACAATGCTTCCAATCACATATAATTCGTCACCATATAATAATTATAATTTAAACAAAAAATAAAATAAAATAGCAAGGGTAACAGCAACAACGCAAACCCTAGAAACTTAAATTTTATCAATATCCTCATCCTCGAACTCGATGTAATCGTTGCCGGTGGAATCGTCTTCCTCGTCCAAGCCACCACCGATACCTTCATTGAGCCTCGTGCTCTCAGGAAGTTCGCCGTAGGCCTTGAGAAGACGCGCTTCGTCCGGCATGTACTTCAGGATGACGTCAGCCTTATCATCCTGGTAATCACGGAGACCGACAAGGATGATGTCGCCGGCGGCGATCCAAACCTTTTTGTGCATTTTGCCGCGGATGTGACAGAGACGCTTGGTGCCGTCGATGCACATCGCTTCGCAGCGACCGTTTCCGAGCATTCGCAGAACCTGCGCGTATTCTTGACCGTCTTCCTTGAAGACGAGTTCGCGCTTCTCGTCGTCTGCTTCGTTCTTCCCTCTCTTCCGATTCTTCCCTCCCTTTCCCTTGTTCTTCGGCATGATCGGATCAAAACCCCTTTCTCTCGATTCTCTCTCTCGATAAAAACAGAAACCCTTGTTTCTCGATTGCGATTGTGCGAGCTTGTGTTTACGTTTTGGTTATGGTTATCTATTCTGCGAATTTGCGAGAGAGAGTTTGCATTGCGTGTGGAATAGAAATTTGGGAGTTTTCTCAATGGACCGTATTACCCCTACTCTATTGCTCAAATGTCGCTGTCGTCCCAAGTGTTTAATTACTTTAATACGAAGTATGAACTTTTATTTTCTTGGCATAAAATATGTCAAACCTAAAAAATCTAATAAACTCGAAAGGTTAGAGATACCTTATGATCATAAAATATAAATAACAATAAAAATTTGAAATAATAGTATAAAAAAGTAAAAAGATAATCATGTACAGAAATTAGAACGTATTCATCTAAATAAGAAATTAACATAAATTAAAATTAGAAAATGTTAAAAATCTTGTTGATAAAGAAATCTGAAAAAAAAAATATATAAATATTGCTAATTAGAATAAAATATATTTTTTACTTTACTAAAGTAATATGATTATATCAAAATGCTTGTCAAATAAAAAAAATTAAATTTACAAAAAAATTAAAGCATTGAAAATGATAAATAAAATGTTTAGTAAATAAATAAAGTATAACAATTGCAAATAAAACATTGCAATAATAACAACAACAATAAATCATCATCATCATTATTAATCCCCTAAAATATCTAAAGATAAAGTAGTAAAAAGATATTTTGCATTATCATTCAATCATTAATTATCATATAAAATTAAATTTATTTTTACAATAATTACTATAAAAATCATGTATATAATATACTATAATTAGTTGATTATATAAAAATCTTAAAATTAAACTCTTAAAATAAACTATAATAATCATTAGTAAAAAAATATTAATGAATTATATGTTTAAAAATGTTAAAAAAAGAGAAATATAGAACTACTTAAATAAAAATGGCTCATCCTGAACATTAATACTTAACATTGTGGTTAATTTTCTTTTGGTGATGGGAATTGAGGTCACGAAGAATATTGTTACACACCAAGTAGTTAACAATGTTAGCATACTAAGGAGAAGGTGATGTCACAAGAGGGTGAGACAAGTAATTTGCAACTTAACTTTTATTTCCCTTTCCATGTCAAATCAGATTTTTGGATCAACAAAATTCAACTAATTAAACGAGGCTTAGTACTTCTCTTACCGATTATTTTTATGGTCAATATAAACTATTACTTCAGCACCTTTTGGATAAACTCAAAATTTATCAGAAGTGAAACATTTGTCAATTACATTTGGCATTTCACATAAGCTTAAATGGTTTTTTTGTTGTTTTATGAGAACTTCACATTCTTCTCTGGTAAATTGGATAGACGCTTGGCAATGTTTGAGAGGTCCGTAGTGAACCTTTGATTGAACTTAAATGATTGAAGGAGTGGAGAATGCTTGTCCATTATATCTATCTTAACTTTGCCAATCTTTATTGAACACCTTATGGCCAAGAACAAATCTCTCCTAATCGTGAAGTGGTATTTTTCCTATTTGGCTTGATTTCTTCCTATCGTTTGAGTACCTGTCGAAAGGTTATGGAGACAACTATAAAAAATTAATAATTAAAAAAATGGCGAATTCGTTTGTGAATATTTTGTAACCACACATGTGAAGATGGACATCACACAGCGTTAAAAAGTGGTAGGTTGATTACAAAATTAGCTTACTTCTTCACATTTTTCAGCTAAGTTTGATTTAATGACATATGATTATAATCTCTTATGGTGCCGATTTTGTTATCTTATTCCTAAAGAGAATATTAGAGTGACGTCCTAGAATTTTGACACACCTTAACAGTGTAAAACACTATATTTTTATTTTTCTGTGACATCTATCAATTTTCTCTCTTCTTTTCCTATCTCTTTTAAGGAATAGGATGTGTACTTAATATTTTCCTTTCCGAAATTTAGATCTTGCGTTGATCAAGAATTGGATTCCACATCCTCCGCCGCACAATCCCAAATTTTTATCCTTTCTTTGAGTTAGAATAGGATTCCCAGTCCAGCAGCGTGGAGAGCACTACGTTGAGTTGTTTAATTCAAAAGATGTTCTTCACCCCTTGCTCATATCATGGAAATATTCTCACATGGACAAAACATGTAATATTCAACCATATTTTGTCTATTTCTCTTTCTTAATTGTAGACGTGCACATTTAAATTAATCTTTGTCGTAATAAAATTGAATACGAAAGATCCACTCTCGTGAGCATGTATATGCACTATGTACATTATTGACAAGCAGAGCGCTTGCCCAGTAAATAGGTATTTTTCTTGGAACAATCTCCGAAAATTTTAAGGACAGTTACCATGGGGATGATATTTTCTTGTAACAAAATTGGAGACTTTGTTTTATCTTTAGACCGAGAGTTAAGAAAAAGCCTTCAGTACCCATAACTTCAAAGACTATTGCTATGTTAGCCATATTAACCCAACACTCTTGACCAAAAAAAGAAAAAACCCAACACCGAAACTATATTGCGCAAATCACGGTGAGGGTCATAGAAACTAAATAATAAATCACAGCCCTAATTATCTTCTCAATCACATGCAACACTAGCCACGCAGTGACGCATGCCTGTATATTAAGATTTTACAATATTACGGAATGTTAACAAAACGAGAAATCGACGGCTAAAAATAGGTCAAGGCCTACCAACTGGAATAAGAAGTTTACAAGTTTTGGGCGGGGGGTTGTCAGTGCCTGATGGTGAGTTCGGCTCTAAGGTGGAGGACACCATTGATGAAGTAAAGACTATCCTCAGCCATGAACGAAGTCCATGGAATCGCAAACAAGTTTCTATAGCCAACGGCCTTTCCCCCAGTGAAAACGTAGTTGCCTTTGTACTTGCTTACAAATTCCTCTGTTGGCCTAGACCTCGCAGCAAATTCATAGTCAACGGCAAAGCTTACTGAGCCCTTTTCCTGCATTCCCAAAAACAGCCCAAAGCAATGGAAAGAACTCTGTTGGTCCATGTTGCAATGTGCCGATAGAAAAAAGCCTTGTCCACCCAAATGGAATGCCTGAGAATAAACCCGGCCAGAAGGGAACAGATTGGCACACTCCTCCCGCCTCAGATCCAAGTACACCACACATTGCTGCCGGGGAAGTTCAAATTCTACAACCTTAACGGGGCGATACTTGTATGCCCTCTCCACAAAACGACGGTTTGAGGCAGTAGGCTCATCTGCTGCCAGTGACCGTTGGCGATGTGGAGCCTCAGCCTTGAAAAATAGGCCCTCAAGTACAAACTTGGAAGCAACTTCATGGTCAAAGTCAGTACAGGTTAAGACCTTCTTAAGCTTTCGGCAGGTCATGTAAGGGAAGCGAATTAAACGAACAAGCCGTCCACCCAGCACTTCTCGTCTTTCTTCCAGTTTAGGGTACTGTTGGCGAGCCCACTTCAACACAAAATCATATACAGCATCTTCTGATGCAACCTGGAGATCATCACTACACAATATTGCCTCTACTCCAGCAAGGGGTAAGGCCATAACCTCTTCTTGGAACCTGGTTATACACAAGACTTTATTAGCATTCAAAGAGAAATATGATATTGAGAAGAAAACAATGAAAATGACAACAAAAGAAACAGGTGTTTTACAAAATAATGGACAATTAGAATCGGTAACACCACATAAGAGAGAAAAAAGTGTTTTCCAAAGACTTTTTGTCATGGGATGGCATAAAATAGAAAAAGTTCTCTAAAATGTTCATAACCTATGAACTTGATTATCCAAAGGTAGCAGCCATCCACCAGATGTATTATCTATAAGGGTTCCAACTATTAGATGCTACACACACACACATGCATTGGAGTCACTTCTATGAACATATATTTTGTTGCCCAAGTCTTTCTAGTCTCTCCAACAAGAGCATTGGAAAGAAACTCAAACAAAAGGGAGCAGAGAAGCTAAAACTGCAATCAAAATTTTAATGCCAGCAGCTAACAAAAGAGGTGGGATTAAGAGGGAATATTAAATACCATTTAACAGGGGTGAAAAATCAGATCTAGACAAGAGTTGGTAATGCTTGAATATCAGATAACGTGACTCAAATAAAAATAAAAAGACAAAGACTTGCTTGGTTATATCCTTGTATCGACCAGCAAGATACTGCTTTGCAGCATCAGTTAATGGTTGGACTGCTTCAGCCATTAAGACACTAGAAGGAAGCTCCAGGTAAAGCAAAGCAGAGTCAGGTGTCATAGGCATATTCCGCAATAACCGGCTACAGTATCTCATGCATGAAGCAACTTCAAATTTATCAGCAGCCATCAGCACATCCAGTAAAGCAGGTGCTGTAGTAGTGCTCAAGGTATTACTATACATAAAATTCAGTAGCTCCATGAGAGCAGCTTCTTCTGTAACATGAAAAGAAGTATGGCATTTGTAAGTTAACCATCAGAGCAAAAACAAAATTGATTATGCAAAGAATCTAAAAATCTTATGTATATATGTTTATACCAGATGCATTAATTCTGAGGGTAACATGTCTCTGCTCTGACTCCCTCATCCCATTTGAGAAAAGCTGCCATAAGTAAAAGAAACAATGGTAAGCAATCATATTTTAGGCAAAACCACTCAAATGTACCCTATAAAGAAGACAGGTCTTCATCTACCTTATAGAAGAAAGGACTTTTAGCAGCCAAGATAGGAGAACTAATATGTAGCGTTTTAACTCTAACAACTGCAGCTGCAGAGCAGTCCATGCTCCAGTTTGAATCATTGCTATTTGCAGCTTCATCACCTATATTAACCACACCAAACTCAAGTGTTCAGAGAGCAGAACTGATAACTTCATTCTTAAGGAAAAGATATCTCTTTCCTTATTACAAGCAAAGGTAGAATGTCATACTTGCTGTAACTAACAAATTTCTCTATTTTAAGGGGAGAATTGCACACCCCATAAACATCACACTCATTTAAATCATAGTAGGGATTTTTAAGCAATTCAAATACCTGAAGGGAATTCTTCCACCATTGCAACAACCTCTTCATCTTGATTATCACTGGCCACACAATCATCCATATCCGGTTGATTCCCGTTCAAAATTTGCTCGTCTGGCACTGAAGCAAGATCCGCAACTGCAAGCAAAATAGCATAACATATTAGGTATAGCAGTATGTAACAACACACGCACTTTTAAGGAAAAATCCATCAAAAGCACTTACTAGTTTGTAGTATTATACTATTTCTCAAAACCCATAAGTAGAACACACAAAAATAATAGAACTCCCTCAAAGTCACACTCATATCATAATTAGCACCATTCCATTCACGGAAAACACACACACAAATGGTTCTTCCCATTTAAACATGTTACATATGCAGAACCCAAGAGCCACAACCATTTTTGCTTCTACTATTGAAGGAAGTTAGAAACCCTAGAATATTTAAGAGCCAAGCAAAAAATAAAAAATTCAGTTAACTTTAACACACACACACAGAGAGAGAGAGAGAGAGAGAGAGAGAGAGAAAGAGAGAGGACCGTTTTCCTTCTTAATATCCTCGCGTCTCCTCTTGCGGTGGCGAGCCCAGTCGGCGATGGTGGTGCAACCATCGGAATCGGGTCGGGCATCGACGGGGTCGGCGATGATCTCGATTCGCAGAACCCTGTCGGAAAAATTGCTGTCATTAAAAGCGAAGGCGAAATCGGCGTCGGAAGCGGAAACGCCACGAGACCACTCGGATTCCAACGCCATAACCGGGTCGAATAGATCCGAATTCAAATCCCTCATGTCTCGTTCCCGACAGAAAATCGAATAAGTAGCGCAAACGCTATGATAAGGTTTAAAAATGAGAAACAAAACAGAGACACGATTTCTCTTCCGAGTCTTAAGAGGTTTAATTACACAAGTAAAGAGGGGAGAGACAAGTTTTGACTTTCACAGACTAACACTCAGAACACAAGATGGGTACCAATAACTTCGACATCCAGTACCTCTTCTAAATTATATATAATAAAATTTAAAAATTACAAATTTTAATATCATAATATTATACAGATTAGATAAATTTTTATTAATTTTTATATTTCATTTTTTAGATTTCTCTTTCCTTTGTCTATTCATTACCGAGTCAACGGATTTTTTTTATAACTTTTCACAGTCAAAAACCTTTTTTGCCTATCAAAATACTATTTTTTAAATTCAGTTTATTAAGAAAATTATTAATTTGAAATGTTATAATTAATTTTAAACAATTAAAAATTTATTACATTAAAAATATACAAGTATAATAAATATTAGATTTTCAATAAAAAGTATTTTTAAATATTTAAAATTAATTTTAGAATTAATATGTATAAAAATAATTTATTAATTGTGTAACAAATTATTAGTTATTGATTTTATAATCTTCACGTTATGAATTGAATATTTATTTGATTAAATAACGAGTGTCATGCATGTGAGGGAACAATGGATCCAATTGAAAATTATAATTGGAGAGGTCAATCGTGGAGGGCAGGCAGGCACATTTGGACTTGAATTTAAAATATGGAAATTTTAGTACCAAATTCCGTTTTTTTAGTCTGAGATTTTAAGTTTGTCAAACATCGACACTTTATATATTCTTTTAATTTATTTGTATGAAATTAAATTTTAATTTAATCTATATACACGTTATTATTTTTTATCTTATTTGTGTAATTTTCCATTCTTATTCCATAAAATATATTAATTCAAGTAAAAAAAGTATAACGAATATTTTTTTTATCATTGTACGTAATAATTATTTTAAATTTAGTCTTTATATTTGAGAAGATTAATTAAGTTTTTAATTCCCTTGTATTTTTTATTTTATTATTTAATATCTCCAAATATTATGAAAATTTTTAAAATATCACAATTCTTTTATTTGACTCATAAATATAATAATTTTTTTATTTTATCTCTCTTAAATGAGAGACTGACCAAAAATTCATGATATTTAAATAAATAAATAAAAACTAAACAGAAAAAATTATTTTGTACCAAAATATATTTTATGTGACTCGTGGAAAAAATTTAAAAATAAATATTTTTTAAGGAAATACAAGCTTAATTAAACCTATTTTATAATAACATTAAGTTGATCTCATAATAACCGAAAAAGTTAAAGGTAAAATTAAAAATAAAGGAAAATGTTTTTAAAAAATATTGTCATATTTTTATATCTTTATTATAATAAAGATTTCTTAATAAAATTTATTATAATTAAATGTTTAAACTTAATTTAAAAAACTAAATTTAATAAAATTATTACAATAATAAAAAAATAAATTAAACTTTTTATATAAAAATAATTTAAAATAAATGTTTTGTACAATAAGAATAACAATTTTTATTGCTTTTTATATTACATGTGTTTTTGTTTTGAAAATTAAATCAATATAACAACGATGTGAGATTTTGACCGTTTGAATGAAAAAATGTTTTTTTTTTTTCAGCGCAACCACGCTTCTTTGTAAGATCACACATGCAACAATCGTGTATCTAACGCATTTTTAATTGTTAATTAAAATTTATTAAATCTATAAAAATATAAAAAAAATAAATATAAATTAAAAATAAAAAGATTCACATTATTTTTATAATTTTAATAAATTTAATTTAAATATTATGTTAGTCCTTATATATAACTCTTCTTTTGTCACTATGTAAAAAATTTATAAATAAATTGGTAAATAAAAATATTTTTAAAATAGGCATTGACATTAATTTTTATACAAAATCATTATCTGATATTTATATTTTTTATACTAATTCTTATAAATAATATCTAAGGTACTGCATGTTTATTTTTAAATAATATTTCAAATATATTAAGGATATAACAATGACATACTTTTGAATAAACTCTCAAACATCTAATAATGAATTAAATTATAATATGTCAAATTATTATAATCTCTTTCAATTCATTTGTCAGTGAGTTTTATTTTGGACTATATTAATTGATTTTTTAAAATTTAGTCCATATGCATAGCACTTTTTCAATTTTGATTTCTGTATTTTTCTTTTATAAGAACCAAAATAAAAAATACATTATCTTTAAACACTATAGTAAAAAATTGTGTTATATATAATGATCAAAATATAAAATAATAATACTGTGCAAATATTAATAATAATGATTATTTAATAGCAAAAAATAATAATAATGATTATTTTGAAAATATTTTTTTATTCAAAAGTTTACAAACTTTTTTTAATAGAAATCAAAATTGTATTTAAATTAATAAATTTTAATTAATAATTAAAAATACATTTAAAAGAGTGTGTTGTGAATATTTTATTTTTCTTAAATTGCAATTTACACTAAAATAATTAACTATAATCAGTTGATAATTTCACCATTTTAGCATTAGTCCAAAGACAAATTGAACTTTTTAGAGAAATAAAAAATAACTTTCAATCTTTTGATTTAACATATTTAAGCTAACAAATTTAGCGGAAAGAATTGAAATTTGGTATTTGATTTGATACTTATAAATATGAAACGATATTATATACTCTTTTTATATTAAGAAGTTTTAATTTTTTAATATTTTAGAAATTAAAAAATATTTATATTTTTTAAATAAATTATTAATTGTATTATTTATTGATATAAAATTAATAATAAGTATTATTTTGTGTGTGAAAAGACGTGTAATGTCTAAAATATTATATAAATTAATTTAAAATTTTAATTATCTCAATATATTTAACTTGTATTTTTAAAGCGAGTGGATTGACTCATAGAATTATATATTTTAATATAAATATAATATTTTTGAAATTTAAAATATTAATAGTAATAAAATCAATTATTTATATAAGTTATAATTTATTTATATATTTTTAATTGTTATAATTTTATTTTATTTTATCTAATTTAAATTTTTCAAAAAAATTTAAGCAGTTAATCCGTCAATGCATTGACCCCCGTTCACAAAACGTTTTCAACCTAAAAAAAGAGGTAAGTTAAAGTGAACCTCTTTCTTGGTAGGTATATGGTAGGGTAGGTTGAGTAACTTTGCTATGTCTATTTCATGAACAAGCAAACAAAAACTCACTGTAAAGTGTAGACTGTTTAGTTGTTATGTAATTTTCATTTAATCTCAATCAGAATCTATTTTTTTTATTATTTCTTTAGTGTAATAGTTATAAAATTTGAATTCAGTCTTTCTTCACCTGTTCCGGCCTACTTAAGAATCACAATTAATGTTATATTTATTGAATACTCATAAAATAATATTAATAATAAATGGGTAGATGGATTTGAGCTTAAATATAAATAAATATCAATAAATTTTTATAGATATAAGTACAAACATTATAATATTTATACCATTTATTCGTATTATATATATGGTTTAAATATTATTTTAATTTTTTATAAATTTTATATTTTTTTGTTTAGTCTTTATATAAATAATTGGTAAGCGAGTCTTTAAATAAAAAATGTTTCAAGATAAATTTTTGTTGTTTGTTTTTATTATAAAACTGCTGTTTTAATTTATAAGTGTGTATTATTTTTTTAGTTCATATATACAATGTATTTTTTCTTATATAAAAATATATATAACAATTAAAATTATAATAATGATAATAATGTATTTTGTATATGAACTGAAATAAAGGAAGATATATTACATATAAAAATTAATTAAACTGAAAATTATAATAAACTATATTTAATAAAAATTGTTTAATCATAAGATGTTACAAATGTAATTTATTTACTTTAAAATGTATCTATAACTTAATATGTTTATAAAAATAATTATTAAATATGATATTTAAAAGAGTAATTTTTTTTAAAAAAATATTCATCATTTTATAAGTCAAAATTTATTGATAAAATTTAAATGCATTACTTGTATTTTTAATATTATTTTCTGATACTTTAGTTTTTTTTCCCATAATTTTCATTTAATATTCGATATTTAATTTCATAATTAAAATTTATGCCATTGTTAATGGATACAAAATATAACTTATTATAATACTTTGTCTTGTACATTAAAAAGATAGAGGTAATTGGAGACATGATAGGTAAAAAAAAAAAAAAAAAGTTGTATATCCTACTCTTTGTATATAGATTATTTTTTAAATGAGATAAATCATCATTTATTAATATCATTCTATCCCTTATTTTTAAATTAATGAAATAATCATAATTGGTGATTTAATCTGATTTTTTTATTTGTTTTTGTCACCCCTAGCTTGTGTCAATGGATATAAATTGATAGTTCAAAAATAAAATATTATAATAGAAATAGATAGGTCCTTTTCCTTTAAAAAAATTATATTGATGCAAATGTATTGGCATAAAGAGATAGAAATGACACGCAAATAAAGAAGAATAGAGATAAAATATAAATGGAGGATCAGGGATTTTAATAATTATAGTTTCTATGTAACAACTTAAAGGCCTTATTTTGAAATGAATATTATTTAAATTTTTATTATTTTAAATATTTTTATTTGAATATATTAATTAAATTATTTTAAATATTTTTATTTGAATAAAATAATTAAATTTTTTACATTTTTAAAAAAATTATCACTAAATTTGATAATTAATTAAAAATATGAAATTTAAATTATTAAATTAATAAATTAATCATAATTAAATTAAAATCTGAATAAAACGAAATAAATAATAAAAATAATTCTAAATTCTTACTTTTTTTGGAATTTATAATTCTTTTATTTTAATATATTAAAAATTTTCTACTAAAATGTTTGAATTCTTTAAAACTAAATATCCGATCAACAAATTTTAACTCATAAAATTGTAAATTGTAAACTATTTATTTGAAATATTTCATTTAAACACACTCTTAATTCATTTATTAAAAACATTTTATTGTTGAAATCATTATCTTTATATCATTTATATTTGTTTTGTAAGTAGCTATTCTGTTTATTGACTTGCTAGTTGGTAGATGAT